ATAATAAGGATGATAGGCGTAATTATAACCGCCATACATCTGTGGGCCTCCTGATCCACCATAGCCTATAAATAAATAAATAAATAAATAAAATAAATAAATAAATAAAATAAATAAATAAATAAATTAAATAAATAAATAATTAGTAATTATTATTTATAAGAATAAATGAATAAGGAGGGAAGAAAAAAAAAGAAATAAAGAAAGAAAAAAAAGAGAAAAAAATGAATAAAAAGAGTAAAAAAAGGCGAATAGGGTATAAAAAGAAAGAAGAAGAAGAGACAAATAAGTATAAATAGATAAAAATAAGAAATAAAATATATATAAACCCTAAAAAAGGGTTTATAAATATATATATATATATACCTGATCTAGATACAGCAAATCGTGGATCCTCGAATCTATAGCCACCAGCCATAGGCATTCCTCCCATACCAAACATTCGCATGCGTGACGTCTGGCTACGGGGCTGTGCTCTTTTTGCCTCTGCCTGTAAGGAAATATAATATATTTATTTATTTATTTATTTATTATTTATCCTTATTTATTTATTATTCTCTATTTATATTTATTTTCTTATATATAGGAAGGGGGTATACAAAAAAAACAAAAAAAAATGATGGCTTATTCACACACTGAGTAACACTACGAAACCCTAAACCCTAAACCCTAAACCCTCATAAACACTTGTAAACCCTAATATACAACTAAGGGTATCTAAGAATATTTATTAAGGTCTTTATGCCGTTTTCTGACTATTTGTGCGAGGGCCTAGGGTTTGTTGCTACTAGGGTTCAGAGAATTATATTTTTAGGGTTTAGGGTTTAGGGTTTACATTGGGGCCAAGATCCTTGTGAATGCCGAGGGCTTTCTCTGCATCTTCGGGGTTTTTGTATATGATAAAACCAAATCCTGCACATAAACCCTAAACCCTAAACCCTAAACCCTAATTTCCCATCACACACCCAATTGTACACCAATTAAACCCTAAAAGCCAAACCCTTAAACAGCCTAAACCCCATCTATAAACCCTAAACACTATATATATAAACCCTAAACCCTAGACGTAAACCCTAAACCCTAAACCCTAAACCCTAAACCCTAATCGTACCTCTGGGTCTGTTGGTCTCTCTGTCGACCATAACACTTGCAGAAGTTAATTCGCCAAACCGCGAAAAGAATTCCTTTAAGACCTCTATAAAGAAAAAAAAGAAAAAAAAAAAAAAAAAAAAAAAAAAAAAAA